CGCTGGGACAGCCCTTACTGGGAGCACTGGGACACCTCTTACTGGGAACACTGGGACACCTCTTACTGGGAGCGCTGGGACAGCCCGTACTGGGAGCACTGGGACACCTCTTACTGGGAGCACTGGGACAGCCCTTACTGGGAGCACTGGGACACCTCTTACTGGGAGCACTGGGACAGCCCGTACTGGGAGCACTGGGACACCTCTTACTGGGAGCACTGGGACAGCCCTTACTGGGAGCACTGGGACAGCCCTTACTGGGAAGGCGCTGTGTCCCTGCGCCCCATACTGGGAGCACGCACCCAACCCCCCTCACCCCCAGCTGCACTCACCCAGCATCCTGTAGTCCCCGCGGGCTTTGTTGGCTCTCACAAAAGCCTGGATCTTAATGACAGCTCCGAGCTGCCAACACCAACAAGAGCATCAGGATGTGACCCTTCGGTGGCACCCAGACCCCAGGGTCTCTCAGGGATCCCCCCTCAGCCCTTCCAGCTGTCAGCTCCATCCCTGCACTGTGTGCCCACAGCCTTCCCCCCCCCAGACCCTCCCTCCATCAGAGACCTCAAAGCCTCCGTTGGGTTTTCAGAGCATTTTCCTCTCCCTGCCCATCGCAGCGCACACCACCCCGCGCTGCCATAACTTCCTTCGCCCACCACCACCCTCCTCCCTCCCCAGGGCTCCTCCGGGGGCTGCGGGGTGCAGCACCCACAGCAGGACGGGCTCCAGCCCCATCCATCACTCACGTTCTTCCTGAAGTGGCGCAGCCTCTCCTGGTACCTTTTCCGAGCCCCCCACATCCTCACAGCCGCTTGGATCTGGGGGGAGATGCTCCTTCAGAACCAGTGGGGGGGGAGGGAGGGACAGACATGGGGCAGCCGTGGGGGTGGGAGAAGGAGGGACAGCTCTGCTTCTGCACGGCGCGGCCGCTCAGAGCCCAGCAGGGAGCGCAGAGCTGGGGGGGACCACAGGAGCAGCACGGCCCGACGCACGGAGGGCAGGGAGCTGGGAGCACCGAGGCACTGCTCTCATCCTGGGAGCACCGGGAGCGCTGGGTGCCCCTGCCCCACTGTCACGGTTCTATGCTTTTTTTGTTTTTGTTTTTTGTTTTTGGGTTCCAGTATTCCACATCAGAACATCGTGCAGTGCACGGGGCATTGAAGTGTCACTGCCCCAATCCCAGGTACCGATCCCTGTGCATTACAGCAGGCACGGGATCTGGCCCTTCCAGGTGGGGCCGCTCTCCTGCTGCCTGGCAGTGGGTGCTGGAGGTGCTTTCCTGGCCGTTCCAAGCTGTCCAGGTTTGACTCGGTCCCAGGAACTCTCTCTCTCATCTTGTCTGATTTATTAATCTCAATTTCAATTAAATTGTATCTATTGTGTTATCTTGTATTCCGATATTATAGTAAAATAAGTTTTCCTCCATAGATTGCTGCCGCTGCTCTTTTCTCCCTTCCTTCCTTCCCATTTTTGTGGGACTGGGGTGGGGGGCAGGGCAGAGGCCTGTCGCCCGTCACGGACATGGATGGATCTGGTCAACTCCGTGACACCCACACTGGGAAATCATTGGGAAGCACTTGGTCACTATACTGGGAGCACTGGGTCCCTGCGCCCCATACTGGGAGCACACACCCAAACCCCCCGGCACCCCAGGGTCAAGGCTGGGTCTCTGGACTTGCTACTGGGAGCGTTGGGTCGGCCCAGACTGGGAGCACTGTGTACCTCCAGCCATGCTGGGAAGCTCTGGGTCTTTGGGGCCGATACTGGAAGTACCGTGTCCCTGTGCCCTGCGCTGGGAGCACTGGGTCACCCCATACTGGGAGCACTGGGTCACCCCATACTGGGAGCACTGGATCACCCCATACTGGGGGCACGGCCCCCCAGTGCCGCCCAGCTGCACCGCTCCCCCCAGCAGGACAAAGCAGGGAGGGACGCCGCGCTCATCACTGGCGACACGGAGGTGGGAGCAGGGGGTGAAGGGAGAGGAGGCCAACCTTGATCACGGCATCCACGTGGGCTCGCAGGAAGCGCAGGCGCTGCAGGTAAGCCTTGCGCTGCCGGTAGCCCCTCCAGCAGGCCTGGGGGGAGAGCCAGAGAACGGCTGAGGTTGGAAGAGACCACCGTGGTCACGGCCATCCTGGCGACCACAAGCCGTCCCGGCGGCCCCGCTCCTACCCCTGCAGAGCTACTGCTGTTGGAAAAGACCCCCGTCTGTGGGCACGGTGGGACGGGTTGGCGGTTGGACCTGATGATCTTAGACGTTGCCTCCAACAAGTCCGACCATCAGCCCACCCCCACCGCGCTCAGTTGTAGAATCGTTAAGTAATTAAGGCTGGAATAGATCTCCATGGTCATCGAGGCCAAGCATCGACTCATCCCCACTGCGCTCAGTTATAGAGCGATTAAATAATTAAGGTTAAAAAAGAACCCCAAGGTCATCGAGGCCAACCATCAACCACCCCACGCCGTGCACCCAGAGAGTCGCTGAGCTCAGAAGGGACCTCCAACGTCACCCAGTGCGACGGCCAGCCCACGGTGCCATCACTGAATCGCGATGGCTGGGGGAAGATCCACAAAACCCCAGCCCACCGCCCAGCCACCCCCACCGCAGCCACTGCTGGAGTCACCCAGCCTGGAGGAGTCCTCCAAGATCACCGCGTCCGACCCCAACTGATCCCCACCTCCACGTCCCTCAGCGCCGCTTCTCTGCAGCTCTGAACACCTCCAGGGGCGGCGACCCCCGGCAACCGGACCGACACGACCCATCTTCCAGATCTGCTCCCAGACCCAAACCTGACCCTCCCCTGTTGCCACGCGAGGCCAGACCTCCGTCCTCGTTACCCCAAGAAGAAACCGGCCCGGCTGCGCCGCCCACCTGGATCCTCACAGCTGCCTTCTGCTGCCGCCGCAGGGCCGCGAATCGCCGCCGTGCCAGGAAGCCGCGCAGGAGGGCCTGCAGCCGCAGCACGGCCGCCTCGTGGGACGCCCACAGGAGCTGCCGGTCGTGGGCTGCGCTCACTTGGGTGACGATGGACTGCAGGGACACCAAGCGTTGGGTGAATGCAGCAGCACCAGCGCCTCCCGTACAGTCGTTCAGGCTGGGAGCAATTCCCCGTGTCACCCAATGCCAGCCCCCTCAAATGTCACCCAGTGCAATGCCATCCCAATGCCAGCCCCCCCCGTGTCACCCAGCCCAATGCCAGCCCCCCCAGTGTCACCCATCCCAATGCCAATGCCCCCAAATGTCACCCAGTGCAATGCCAACCAATGCCAGCCCTCCCAGTGTCACCCAGCCCAATGCCAATGCTCCCAAATGTCACCCAGTGCAATGCCATCCTAATGCCAGCCCCCCCAGTGTCACCCAGCCCAGCACCAGCCCCCCCCACACCACCCCCCGCACCACCCACCCCCCATAACCCCCCCAGGGCCCCCCAACCCCCCCAACATCCCCCAGTCCAACGCCAACCCAACGCCAACCCCCCATCACCCATCACCAATCCAACTCCAACCCCCCAGTGTTAACCCCCCCAACGCCCCCCATTCCAACGCCAACCCAGCACCAACCCCCCAACGTCACCCAGTCCAGTGCTGCCCACTCCATTGCCAACCTCCCATCATCTCCCAGCCCCCCCCCCCGCCCACACTGCCCTGCCCAGCCCTCAGCCCCACAGCGACCCAACCGCGTCCCTCAGTGCCACATCTAAACCAGGATCCACCAAAGTCTACGTTAAAGCTCGGCGCAGACGTTTTGCCGCAGGACGGAGGGCCCTTTCAGCAGCCCCGAAGCGAGGCCCCCCGAGGCAGCAGCGGGTGCCGCCACGAGGAGCGGGCAGCAGCTGGGAGGTGCACAGAGCAGGGGCTGCGCTCCCTTCTGGCACTGAACTGAAGGCCGTAAAACCAAAGGGAACCTCGGCACCTCGAGGCTCGAGGTCTGAACGTCGCCGCGGTGCAACCAGAATCCGCCCTGCCTGCTTGGCTCCCATTTCGGCCAAATGCTCAGAGGGCACAAAATTTAAAATGTGCAATGGAAAAAATCCGAGAAATTAAAGGAAAATTCCTCCTCGCCCATTTATACCAACAAGTTGGTAAGAAAGAATTGCTTGGTTTTTTCCTCCATAAAAAAGTAACTCCTCAGAGCAGTTTCTCACAACAACTCACAACAGCTCCTGATTTTTTTCCAAGCTTTCTAGGGCGCTTTGCTAAGAATTTCCACGTCCTTTTTGCAGCTAATTGCAGCACCAGGCCACGTGCTGAGAAGGCTGCAGGCGTTTCTGCACACCTCAGCATTTCGATGGAGCCCTGCAGACCCTACGGACCTGAATGGAAGGGCGGAAGGGTTGGGTTGAGAGACCCCAGAGATGAGGAAACGGCACCGCAGCACAGCGGGGCTGGGAGCTGCCCTACAGAGCATGGAACCACAGCACGGCTGGGCTGGAAGGGATCTCTTACATAACGGGACCACGGGATCACAGCACGGGTTGGGAGGGATCCTGCAGGTCACTGAACACAGGATTAAAGTCTGGTTATGTTGGGAGCTGCCCTACAGATCATGGGACCACGGCATTGTTGGGCTGGAAGGGGTCCTTGCAGACCAGGGAATCACAGCACAGTTGGGCTGGAAAGGATCCTATGGACTATAGAAGCACGGGATCACAGCACAGCTGGGTTGGAAGGGATCCTACGGGCATGGAATCAGAGCACGGCTGGGTTGGAAGAGATCCTACAGAGTGCAGAACCTCGGGCTCACAGCCGGGTTGGTGGGGACCTCCCTGCCCCCAGCTCAGGCTGCCCACTGCCCCCGTTCCCCCCCACGGCTCTGCGCAGCACTGCCCCGGCCCCGCTGCCCCGCTTGCCCCATACCTGGATCTCCTCCCGGCTCAGGTGCGTGGCACACAGCTCCCCATCGCCCGGCCGCTCCCAGCTGCCCTCGAAGCTCTGCAGGCTCAGGTAAAACTCGGAGCCGTCCCGCAGGCGGTGCCGCACCCAGCGGGGTTTGGTGCTCCCTGCAACCCGCGTACGGCCGCTGTGCTACCAGGGCTGAGCATCCTCCCCGGACAGGACTGGGGGCTCCCATCCCCGCGCTGTACCCGTCGGCCTCTTGGTGGCCGCCAGCGCCTGCAGCTGCTCCTGGTAGCCCGCGGCACAGGCGTCCCGCACACCGCGCAGCCCCACGTCCGGGTTCCGCAGCACCCGCAGCGTCTGCGCCGCCCGCCCTTCCCTGATGGCCTGGTTGATGGCGGCCGTGCCCAGAGCCACTGCGGGAACGGGGGTGGGGTGAGGAAGGGCGGGGGGGCAGTCGGGGAGGGGGAGCGCAGAGATGAGGGGCTGAGGGAGAGGGAATGCGGGGTGGAGAGACGGGGGGCTCGGGGGGACAGAGGGCGGAGGTGGGGGGACTCGGGGGGACAGAGGAGGGACTCAGGGATTGGGATTACAGAGATGGGGCTGGGGGAGGAGGAGTGCAGAGATGGGGGTCCTGGTGAAGAGGGAGCATAGGGTGGATCAAAGATCAGAGTCTCAGGAAGGAGAAGAGCAGAAATGGGTGGAGGGACCGGGGGGGACAGGGTGCAGAGCTGCCCGGCGCAGCCCCACTCACTGCGCCTCGCCGCCGCCGTCTCCTCGTTGGCCGCACGCACCCCGCGCTCGATCTCCTCCCACCACAGCTCAGCTCCGCCGTCCCCGGTGGCCTGAAGTGTCGGGGAGGGGGGTCGGCGTCCAGCCAGCCGGGCAGCCCCCGGCCCGCAGCCCCCGGCCCGCCCTTCGCGTCCCCGCCCCGCACCTGGGCTTTGGCCGCCCGCGCGCGGCCGAGGACGCGGTGGTAGCGCTGGGCATTGGGCGGAAGCACGTCGGGCAGAGCGGCCGCGGGCAGCAGCAACGCCGCCAAGGTCCTACGCGGGTCCGCGAGCCGCAGCGCCGCGTTGATGCGCCGCACCGCCAGCAGCCCTGCGGGATGGGAGGCTGTGGGGCCCCGCGTAGCGCCGCCGGGTTCCCTGCCCCCTCCCGGAGGGACGCGGCGTGGCGCGACTCACGGTCGTTCTCGTCTCGCACCGAGGAGTTGGTGGCGTTCACGCCGTCCTGGATGTCGGTCCAGCTCAGGAACTCCGCCCCGGCTTTCCTGCGTCGGTCCTTCAGCTGCAGCAAGGAGTCGAAGTACCTGCGGGGGGCGGGGGGGAACGCGGGGCAGGGCAGAGCGAGGGGCCGCGGTCGGACTGGGTGACCTCGGGGGTCTTCGCAAGCTTACCGACCCCAGAAATGGGCAGAATCGGGCTGCTGCCTGGGGGCGGTTGAGCGGGGATGGGGGGGATGGACTCGGAGGTCTCCTCCAAGCTGAGCGACGCCGCAGGTGAGCGGGCACAGGGGGCCACGGGCCGGATGCTGGACGTGGAGACCTCCAACCTTAACAGCTCCACGAGGGGGCACGGAATGATCTCCGAGATGCCATCAGCCTTAATGAGCACGGCTGGATTTACAGCTCGAGGTGACCTCCGGGGGCTTTTCCAACCTGAGGAACTCTGAGCGCACTGTGGGGGGGCTGGATCGTTTGGGGGAGGGTCTTCTCCACCCTGAAGGGTTCTGTGTGGGTGCAGTGGGGGAACGGGGGGTTTGGAGCGGACGATCCAAGAGGGCTTTTCCAATTATAAAGCATCGATGATGGGAGGCAGGGAAGCCCACCGCCCAGCCAGCCTCCTCCCTTCCCAGGCAAGCAGAGAGAGGAGCTGTGGAACCAACCTTCCCCACCCCCCACAGAACCCCTCACCCACCCCCCCATCCCTCACCGCCGCGCATTCTCCTCCTCCACACCCGACAGCCCCAGCGCAGGGCTGAGCAGCGCAGCCCAGAGCTCCTCGGGGTTCCCGGCGTCCAGAGCTCTGTTCACCAACGCCACGGCCGAGAGCATCTCCACGGCCACAAACAGCTCCTCGTGCAGCAGCTCGCCCTGCGCGGGGCACAAACGCACCCTGAGCCCCCGCGGGGGCCGCGCCCCCCCGGCGCGGCGCCCGGCGCCCCGCGGCCCCCACCCTCGGGTGTTGGCGCTGCAGCAGCGCCAGCTGCTGTTGGTAGAGCGCGGCAGCGTGGGGGAGCGCGGCTGGGAGCTGCGCCGACGGCTCCAGCAGCGCCTGCAGCGTGGCGGCCGGGATCCCCCGCCGGATGGCCGCGTTGATGGCGCTCACAGCCCGCAGCGCTGCCGGAGAGAGCGGGGATGGGGCTGAGGAGCCGCGCGGAGCTGCGCCCCATTGCAGCCCCTCTGGATTCCGCGCTCCCCCGCCCCTCCTTCCCGGCCCCCCACACACTCCCAACCCCTCCCTCCTTCTCCCTCGGCCACCCTCATCTATAGGATCAGGTCCCCCAGAGCCCCCCCAGTTCACACCGCCCCACATCACCCCACATCCCTCCTTTCCTAGGATCCAGAGCTCCCCTACCCTGACCTCCTACTGCAGACCCCCACCCATACAACCCCACATCCCCCGTTCCCCATCCTAGCTGTAGGATCCCCCCTCCAGCCCCACATCCCCCCCATGGCCACTCACTGGCTCGCTCCTCCTCTCCCCTCTCGTTGGCCACCTGGATGCCCACGGCCACCTCCTCCTCATCCAGCAGCTCCACGTAGCCCAGCTCCTATGGATGCAGAAAGCATTGGGACCCCCGCAACTCCACCCAGAGCCCCCCAACGCGGGCACCTCCGCTCCGAGCCCCCACCAGAGCCTTCTGCTGCCGCTGCACTCGGAGCTGCTCCAGGCAGAGCTGCAGGTCGTCCCGCTGGAGGCGCGGGAGGCTCAGCGCGGGGTCCTGCAGCGCGCGGTGCAGCAGCAGCGCATCCCCTCTCTGCACAGCGTCGTCCACCTCCTCCAGAGCTGCGTGCACTGCAGGGGGGGCACAGCAGGGGTCAGAGCGAACCCCCGCACCAAACAAAGCTGACATCTCTCCATGGAAACGCCCGGTGGGGCCACAGCCCCCCACGAAGGAGAGCGGGCGCACGGCTCACCGTTGGCCCTGCTGATGCTCCCCTGGATCTCCGCCTGCGTCAGGCAGCAGGTGTAGATGTCCTCCCCCTCCTCTGGGACCTGCGGGTGCCGCTGTCACCGTCCTGCGTCCCCCGCTCGCTTCCCAACCCACATCCCAAAGAATAAAGAAAAAAAGACCCCAACCCTCCCCCCACCCCCCCCATTTCTCACCAATTTCCCCCAGCCCTGCAGGAGTCGAGCGCCTCCCTCACCCCCCATTTCTCACCCACTCCCTGCGGCCGCCCTTCTCCCTCTGAGCCCCGCACAGCACATCCTGGTAAGTGGCCGCCAGCGCCGTGCGCAGCCCCCGCAGCATCGCCCCGGGGTGGAGCAGCGCCTCCATGGTCTGCGCCGCGTCCCCGCGCTGCACCGCCACGTTGATGGCCAGCACGGCCGCGTGCACTGCGGGCAGCGAAGGAGACGCGTGAGGCCGCCCACCCACCGACACCCCCCAGGGCAGCCCCACATCTGGGGTTGGCAGAGGGGGGTCCCCGCCCCCCCCCCCCCCCCATCACCTGCTGCCTCATCCAGCGAGAGCTCATCGGCCAGGATGCCCCCGATGCGGCCGAACGCGGGCAGCTGCAGCCCCAGCTTCTCCAGCTCCCGCCCCGCGTCGCTGATCTCCTCCTCTGGAGCAGCGGGGGAGATGGCACCGCTCGGCCCCCAGCACCACCACCCCCCTCCCCCCAGTCCCACCCCCATCCATCCCCCCAGAGCCGCAGCCCCCGCGCAGGGCCGTACCGGTGAAGTCCACCTTCCCGGACAGGTCCTGGATCTGCGGGGCCAACCCCAGCTTGAAGAGGTACAGACTGCGGGACGGAGCGCAGCGTCAGCTCCCACCCCACTGCTGGGACAGGAGGGGGGTCTGCAGCCCCACAGCCCCCGAGTGGGGCGGCCCCACCAGCAGGGACAGCAGGGAGAGGCGCCCGTCCTGCAGTGACGCAGCCGGGGGGTGGGGGTGGGAGTGGGACCCCCCAACCTGAGCGCGTGCAGGCAGTACACCGCCCTGGGCATGTTCTTCTTGTCGTAGATGTCGGTGGTCTCCGGGTGGAAGATCTGAGGTCATCCAGTGCCACCCAGCAGCCATTTGAAGGGGGAGCGAGAGGGGGGACAGAATCGAGATGGGTCCAAAGAGGGGGGGAGGGGGGGCAGAGGGATGAATCCTCACTGCAGCCCTTGCACTGCCCCCCCAACCCCAAAACACACACAGCCCCCACGGGGGCTTCCGCTAGGACCCAGAGATGGGGGAACAGTGGGGGGGGAGGGGGGGCCTAGGGACAGGGATACAGCTTGGGGGGCGGGGGGGGAAGGGGGACACAGCCACACCAGAGGGAGGATGCAGGGAAAGGGGGTGGGGGACACATTGAAGGGGAACCTGGAACAAGAACACCTGGGGGGGCAGGAAGGTGGAGTGGGGGGACCCAGAGTCAGGGACAGTTGATAGAGGGGGGGAGGGGGGA